ATATATATATATATATATATATATATATATATATATATATATATATATATAAATACGGTGAAATTAATTAAAGATAAGGATTGTAGCATACAAAAAAAAACATAATCAGTAAAATTGAAGCAAAACAATCGCTTATTTAATAAATGAATAATTTACGCAATAAACGAATTGATCAGAGTCAAAATTTTCAATGTAGCAATTTTATGTTCTCGGTAATTTTCGGTTATAATAATATTGCTCAAGTTTTATTGCTTACGTGTTGCTATATATAGTATAACTCTAATGTTTCATAATTTAATTTATTACGGACTTAACTAAGGATCGCGAATATTTAAAATCTGAAATGCATTTTATTATAGAAATGCATTATTATATTATAGAATTTTATATAAATGCATTATATTATATCTGAAATGCATATTTAGTCGTTATTATAACGACTAAAAAAGTAACGTGTGTGTGTGATTAAGGAAAAGTAGTAAAGTGTATAAATCTAATATATATGAACGAAATAAAGAATTGGTGGCGAAATGTAAAAGCGCAAAAAAAGTTAATTTCCCAATATCTTATATGTGCCAGTATCTCATAATTTAGATTCTTTCAAATCCACTTATAAGACTAGGTTCTTTATGAAATGAATGTGTGCCTTGCATCAAAGGGAATTTAACGGAAACAGTGCAGAGGGAGGGGGGAAAGCAGAACGGAAATATAAAAAGAAGATAGATCGTTTGGCCTAAAGTATGTTAAAACTAAAATACATGGAGAGAGAACTAACAGAATTCTCTCTGATATCGCATAAAACAAAAGAAATATGCGGAGAAATTAGAGGTCTATTATTTTTTTATGCTTACTCATTTTAGAACAATTTATTCGAGTATTTATTTAGAATATTCAATGAAAATTTTGGTTATATCCAAAATTAAAAGCAAATTTTAAAAAATTATGATACAAGACACTTAAGACCAAAAATTCTACTTTCTTGTTGCAATGAGGTGATCATCGAAGAAAATATTTAAACAGAAATTTGATGAATGTCCGTTAACAGCGTGGATGTAACCCGCGATTCATGTAACGAACGGATGATAAAATTAATAGTACATCTGGGGTATCTAATCGAAGAGTGTTTCAAGGCCTGGCCTTAAGGTGCCCACGTAAAGCTTAGCTTAATTGGGCAGCGAGTGGTGGCCGCGCCTTATTAGCGGGTTACAACATCCGGCTAGCTGTTAATCTGAAAAGTCCTGCGTATATCCTGCGGCGGGCCTGAAAGACCAGTCCGGACAGGGAGGGAAGCGGAGATGCGGAGCAACTAGCCTATAATAAGCCGCGCGGCTGTGTATGTTCTGTTCTGTTTCGTTCCTTCATGCTGCGCCAGTGAAGGCAGACCCATAAATCTCCCGGGCATACTCCAGGGGACATTTGATCCTTGCGTAACCCAACGCCGTTAATTTATTGCCCCGCGTTTAAAGTCACCTCCGTCCGCGAAAGCCGTAGCAGTAGTGCCGGGTACACACCGGTCCGGCGCAAACTTAGGCCATCGGTACGACTTTCTTATTATTAGGGCCTTCTCCATATGCTACGCAAAAGCCTTAGAAGCTGTGCCGCGAAAGGCGGCATTATCTTAGCAAGTTATATTACTGTGCGATGACACTGTCGGGTTCCGTAAACGCGTGCACGGTTGCTTCTTTAATCGACGCCATGTGCGCCTCAACACCTGGAAATCTCGTGTTCATATAATAGCCCCGCACACCGCCTAATTCTCTCCTAACCGGATGCGCTTAAATTAAGAGTGGAGGTTTCAGTGTGATCAAATCGATCGACTCGTAAACTTTGTCTCATAAATAACATAAGAATCGTCGAAGCAACGTTTAATAATTCATTTCTTCGCTCTGCAACGTCTAATGACACGGGAGGATTTATACGCGAGGTGACCTTTCGAGACAAACCTGATTATTACTGCCGCACTGACACAGGATTATTCCTACTCGGTCGCATGCGTGAATGTATTTCAGATGCGTTTCATAATTTTCAAGTAAAAATGTGCTCGAATTTTTTCTTACATTAGTAACTTAAGAATAATTGACGAATATTGCTACTTATAATCAATTATTGCTACTTACTTCGATGGTTATAGTCGGTTTCTAAGATGATGTGAATCCAAAAGTTGAAATCTTCGGAAAACATGAAATACAAAATATAACTACATGAGAGAGCAATATAAATGTAACTACATGAGAGAGTAATTTTAATCAGGTGTAGGCATTGATTCTGAATACATTTTCGTATAAATAACTCAGTCGTCTACAAATTTAGATCGGAATTTTAAGATGTTGGTGCAGTTACTTGAACATGTTCCATGTATTCCGCGGACGCTTTGATGAACTAACCTAAGATCAAGTACATGATCTTCATTAAAACTTTGACGAATGAGTATTAGCACGATGCAACTTTCATGAGATGGTCAACGGGAGATTTGACGGTGACAATATTTCATTCAAATGGTACACGGTTACGTGAAAGCATTTTTGAGAATATGATGAAACTCATTATTATTGTCCACATTAATTTACGTGTATAAAGATTGATAATTATTATCTCATAATGTTTATTATTATTATATATTCTTGGCAAATAAATCCTTGAAACGGTAAAACCGTAGAAGTTGACCAAATCGTTAAGGCTTATAAGAGAGCGCTAGAGAGATTGGTATGTTGTTAATTTGAGAGCGTAGCCTAAGGGAGGGAATAAGAAAGCATGTTCCCAGCCTCCTCTGTCTTCCTTCTCCTTTCTCTCTCTCTTTCTGTTACGCACGCTTTTTCTCTTCCTCTGTATCTTCTTCTCTTCGTCCGATCGAGGGGTTCAGGAACCTACGCGATCTCTCCATCTCTCTCCGGAGCAAAACCGCTATCCATCTTCATCGGCCGACAGCACGACGGGCGGCGTTTGCCTCGAATACTCGCCAAGGAGTTTTCTTCTTCTCCTCCTCCTCCTTCTTCGTCGTCGTCGTCGTCGTCGTCGTCGTCGTCGTCTTCTTCTTCTTCTTCTTCTTCTTCGTCTTCTTCTTCCCCTTCTCACTTCCCAATTCTCATCCCTAGGCCTTCTCTTCTTCCCTCCCTCGTACCATTCTGAAATATTCCCGTTTTGCTCTCTCGCACTCTTGCGCGGCGGGCTAACCCAACCTAACCTAACCTAACCTTTTGAGGTTATATCTCATGAAGTTGTGAGACTTCACACACAGAATCAACTTCCTCTGTCTCCTTGGTACCCCTCTCAGTCTTTTCCACCTCTCTTGCTCTCTTGGCAGCTACAATTAATATTCTTGTTCAGGATTCGTGTACCGCGCACCGACCGCAGATCATGTCACGGATATCGTTAAGGTATCTATCATATGCGGAACTGCATCTACGATCCCAGGACTTTTTACTTTACACTCGCGGAGATATTTTCGTTTGGCTGAGATTTACAGAAACCCCGACCGGTTAGATCGACACGAATTGCGGTATTTATTAAATATTTCACCTAACTGGCCGGCTGTAGCTTAAAGATCGGACGGGCATGCGCATATACGCGCTCCGGCCGTTACGACTGTGCGATCCTGAAATACTAATTCGGGATTCTGATTTCTTCTCTCTCTCTCCCTCTGTTGCAGAGAGGAAACGAGGTCGGCAAACGTATACGCGATATCAGACGCTAGAACTGGAAAAGGAGTTCCACTTCAATCGATATCTCACTAGGCGGCGACGTATCGAGATCGCTCACGCGCTATGTCTGACAGAACGGCAGATAAAGATCTGGTTTCAAAATAGACGGATGAAGTGGAAGAAGGAGAACAAAACGAAAGGCGAACCAGGCTCAGGTGATGGCGACACAGAAATCTCGCCGCAGACGTCGCCGCAGGGTTGAAAGAGCTCCGAGGAGTGGAACTTCTAAAGAGGTCTCATCTCTCTCAGGGTCGTTAATACCTTGTTTCCAGCACTACCTCTTCCCCTACCTAAACTCCAGTCCCCGTCGATGACCTCCAAATGACCCCTCAACAGCAATGACGCTTATTTTGTCGTGTTAATCATGTTGCTTGTACCAAAAAAGAAGAAGATAAGGATGACGGCGAAGAAATCGTGGAAGGACCCGTAAGAGTGGCCGATGACGAATAGACGGCAGAAATGGAAATTATGAAAAGGTGACGTGACGAGAGAGAAGAAGGGAAGAACAAAACAAAAGCGAAGACGCGCACAAATGAGTCAGCAGAGGATTTGCGGAAATGTGTATGACTTAATGTGGATCAAGATTACGAATAAAAGAAGAACGGAAGAGAGCAAAACTGGATCACATGCTAATCAGAACCGCATTAACCTCTATTACGTTTAATCAAATGTAATTGTACTAAAGCCTATATAGAGATATGGATAAAAAGATGTACGTAGTTTAATGCGAAATCGCGAGATCGGTGGCAGTAATCCAAGTAGAACGCACGAGAATATGTGGTATTCGGAGTGATAGATATAAAGAGCTAAGTCCGTTGAGAGAATGAGATATGCGTGAACCTGTGCGTGATAGAGAAAAAAAAATCCGCGTTGAAATCTTAGGAGAGCATTTTATTATTTATTCTCTTACGCCGTACATGTAGAGTCGTAGGACGGTTAGTAGATTAGCAGTACGAAGATGTCCGTCGCGTCTCTATGTAGCAGTAGAGATAAGCGGTTTAGTGTTCTTAGAGAATCGTTTAGATAGATCTTTCTCTAGTACCGCGGTGGCTCCAACAAGGAATATTTAACATTCGTGCCAAGTATGATTTCCGAACGCGTTTCTCGTATTTTAATAAAACAAAATTTGAGAGAGGGTTTGAGAACAACGCCAGGATATAGCGGATGAAGAGAAACAAAAGGAAAAAAAAGGGAGAAAAACAGTGCAGAAAGAGAAGAGGAGAATCACCGGAGTTCACGTCTGATCCTGATCAACCAAGTGAAACAAGTGCGTGCAAAATCAATTCCATTGGAAATCAGTGATTTTTGGTGTGTAAATCTAACGATCACGACGATGTTTTAAATATTGTATGGAATGAGACGGCGGCATTGACCGTGGATGGTATAGATTAGTGCTGAATGATAAAGTGAGTTTGAGGAAACAGCGCCCTTCGGCGGAGCAGAGTCAAACCGACTTGGCATTTCTTCATCAGCGTCATCGCAAGGTTAGTCTTATTGAATGAACATTGCTAGTGACACACAATTATCGGTTACATTAGACATGCAAATATCTCGTTGAATTGTTTGCATTTGATAAGAACAGTTGGCCTCTGCGTTTCGACGTAACAGAGAACACATTTCTGTCTCGTGTGGACTTTATTACAAGTGAGTGAATTTTATTTTACGCACAATAATTTTCGAAAACACTTTCGCTACTTGTTTTTATCATATGCAAGAAACATACGTTTACATTTGCTGACCGATAATTGGGATGATTTGCTCGTATCATGCACATTGCTCAATATGACGGGTATGATAATGATGTACATAGGCAGTCCATTTTTAGTGAAAACGTGTCTGTTCGGGAAAAAAGATATTGGAATATTTAAACTTATGTTGTATAATTTTTGGGGACTTAGGAATATATGTTTTATTTTATTCGAATTATATTTTTTTAGTATTAATTATTATAAGTAGCTGAAAAAAAATTCTCAATTTATGTTTAAATTTATACTTAGTTTTAAAATTTTACGAAAAAGAGCGAATTTTATATTAAGATGTATAAATGTATAATATCTTTTACGATGACGGGCACACACACACATACTGAGTGATCTCGATTCACATCCTTTGAAACTGCTTTAAAAGCAGAAACGTGGTAGTGGTACTCTCCTTTTCTGTAAATATTAAAGTAAAGAAAAAAAAAGGAAAGAAAGAAAAGTGACACAGGAAAGACAAATCTGTCTTTTGCACATTTGTAGTTTTATCGAAAATTTACTCTTGCTCCGCGCGACGTGACGCCAAGTTACCAAGTGTTGTAATATGTAGTATATTTTCGGAATAGGATGCTTTCAGCATGAGACCGCTTGGCACCTTAATAGCGACTCGGAACTGAGTTCAATGTAAGCGATCTTTTACTTACGATGATGGAGTACATCACGTATTATTCCAAATTACTACATCGTTCCATTCGAGTTTGCTTTCTTTTCCTCTATTACGTTACAGCAATTTGCAACAGAATTTAATCTGGTACTCGCAACTGTTTCTTTAATATATCAAAATACCGCGACACTCCCGGCAAACACTCCCCGCTTAGCCCGTTCGCGGGCAATAAAGGAAATTCGAATTAAGAAACTGGGAGAACGTTTAATGACGAACAACTCGGGAACACGAGAACGATCGCAACAGCAATTATCACAGGCGTATCGGCTGCAATCTTACATTCGCGCACGATACGTCCGCGTGGCGTCCTCGGCCAATGTGTGCGACTCTCTCTCTTCTTCCACTGGCGCTCCTTGTCCAAATGATTAAACTCCACTTGTCTTGTTCTTCCTTCTTGCGAAAGTCGCGAGTACGGATGCGATGTGATCGATTGCTCTCGTCGTCGATGCGCCGCGACGTTCTGCACTTTGTTGCCTACCTTGGAAGAGACGCGTTTAAGCGTGACAAGCGGTATCAGAGCACTCGTCGACTTCGTCAATGGATCTGGTTCGATGAATCAATTTTATTGCGCCGTATCGGGAGATCTTGAGAACTCTGGCTACATTGTGGCCGAATACGAGCCGACATACTCTCCGCCGCGGCGAATTCTGTGCTGTGTTGTAAACTTAGATTCGACATAATTATTTAGTTTATACCTTGTGTACACGACAATTAACGGTATACGCGCGCGCAATAAGCGACGTTAAGACTACGTGCTCGAGCGGCAAATTGAAAAATGCCCGCAGGTAGCCGACTTCTAAATCCTGTTGCACGGAAAACCGCTCTTCACCGTTTTTGCATTATAAAATGGAAAAGGGGCGAAGGGAGCAGAGCGACACTACGTAAACCTGTAATCGATATACGTAACACATGGTCCGGCTCGCACTCGCGCGTTTGATCGAGCAACGACCAGCCTTTCCTTTTTCGAGAGATTTATTTGTGTGAAATCTTTTGTCTTTGAGGAACAACGAACTAAAGCGGCGGGAAGCCTCGGTGATCGCTCGCTGTCGCACACGTTTCACAACATTCGCTGAAATTAATTGTACGATCTCACGAAAAGAATTTCTTTACGATTCGATCTGATTTTATGATTTTGTTTCATTTAAATATGTAAATTATTCAATTATAAAACCATGTATCGTGATTGCAGATAAACAATTTATGTAGACACGTGTAACCTTGCACGATCAAAATGAATTTTTTTTACTTCGCTATAAATAGATCATGTATAAATTAATTCTAGTTGCATCAATTGGTGATATAATTTGTGAGCCGGCATTGAAACGGAAAGAGAAAGATATATTAGTCTCTTAATCATCTTATCCTTTGTTACGATATTGTGACCAAAAATACTGTTCTTCAAAAATACTGATTTCGTAAAACTCTGTTTCTAGATAAATAGAAACGGAGAGCAATTAATTTGTAAATATTTATTGAAACTATACATTGACAAAAGTTTAAATTCGAAATGTAACGTCGGTCAGCGAATATTACATGTACACTTCTGACTTGGTCATAATATGCGAAAAAGTCGTATATTGCAATAAAAGAATATATATTTGAAAAATACGGTGGATCTGTTTGTACAAACTGTAGCTATCGTGAGCGATCACCGTGAAAACACGCAAACGTAATTAAAGAAAAATAAAATTTTGTATCCATTCGATAAAATTTATTGTAGATTTTAAAAATACGTATAAACGCGCGAAATGGAAATTCATAGTATTAACTGGAAAAAACAAAATGTAAATTATATATTTTATCTCTACTCGTATATATATATACATATATATATATATATATATATATATATATATATATATATATACGCGTAAAATTACAGATATACGTAAATTAAACCAAGTACTGTTAGTGTATGCAAAGGTAGAATTAAAAAGCTGAACGTAAATGCAACAGCGCCTATGTACGAAGTATGTCACTAAGATAACTCGTAATCGATAAACGTAACATCTAAAGTCTAATTCATAAAGTAAGGTAATAATATTAGGAGAACGGGCATGTCAGTCGCAATGGGCAGGGGCGGCGATCGTGAGGTGGTAATTAGATTTTCGCCCAAATGAAAAAAAAAAAAGGAAAAAAAGAAGCAGTATCCGCCATTTAAACGTACACATATGGGAGGTGCGCAATTCAAATTTTATTTATTATTGTCCACGGTATATATGCGAGAGAGTGACGGCACTTGCAGAATTGTACATAACTCCGATCTTTCTAACTAGGTTACGCGCGAAACTCTACGAGATAAGTAGAACAAAGAAACGAAGAAATATAAGAAATAATGCTTGTCAACGAACGAGTAGCTTTCAGACCGTAATATTATTTAGCCTGATACTATTTATTGATACCATGTTATATATAACGCAAAGTGGATTTTTCTGTTTGTTTTATTGATTATACAATAAATATTTTTTACAATATACTAGATAAGTTGTTGTAGGTCTTTGTATTGTACCACTTACTCTCTAACACTTCCTTGAACATCTCTGCGGAATAATAGTGATTAATAGAATTAAAATCGTATACCGACATATTGTGTTCTTGAATGTCCAGTTAGACATCTTTCTATCGGGTTACACATAGGTGTACAAAACGACGTTCAGAAGTGATATGTGTTTCTCTCGTGCATTTGTATTTTGATACTTTACTCTTATTTCATCTCAGCTCCTTCATTCGGGCCACGAAAGATCTTGTAAAAGTATTACGTTTTTTACCATGCAAATGTTGAATCTCTTAGCGGTCTATATAACCTCGTCCTCGTGCGCGAATGCACCGAAGAGTTCCTGACTACCTGCCGCATTTTAGGCGCAGGTGTCATTATAGTTTCATATATATCTTTTAGATATTGTATTTCTATTCGAATGTGTAAAATATATAAACGAACAAGCGGAAGTCCTTCGCCCCTTCACTTCACCATTCACGAACCATTCGGCATTTTTGCGTGTAACTGTAACTTAAGCTTACATTTATGAAAAACACGATCGATACTGTTTCTCATGTGTTAAATAGAGGTGTTGACAAAATTTCAGTTTTAATTCACAAGACACAGTATGAATTATGTTTTACTGATTTCACGTTTCGACGATAAATTAAATTCCTACAAATTTTAGGAAATATTAAATCGCTTGACACGTACACTTTATTTAATACTTGAACCATACTTCGATATACGTGTAAATGTAAAAAGAAAAAAAAATGTCAAGGCATTATAGGTGTATCGCTTACGTAATCGCAACTAGAGGAGATTGTCATAATCACACATATTAAAACGAATCCTTTGCAATGCCGAACTTATTCATTTGAGATTTGCGGCCTCATCAATTATAGGTTCCGCCATGTGAAGACTGATAGACCCCGTAACGCGACAAAAGAATAATGTATACTATAATAGTCGCTACAACAAGAAAACATCCAGACCGATATAATTATTTAACGATAGGCAAAAGTAATTATTTAACAGTGTATGTTTGAGCGAACTGATTAACTGAAAGAAAAATTTCGCAGGTTAAGAACCAATTTAAAATGTCATTGTACTGTACTCGTAAAATATCTTCGAGTCCAGTCGAGTTGGAGAGTACACAAGCAATAAAAATTGACGGAATTGCTCTGGCTTTCGTTCCGATGTCTCAGTGTCAGAGGATACATGGCAAACAAGATGCATTTGTATATAATTAGTCACAAAATTAACACGAATGAAGATTTTTGTCTTTTCTTTTTATGTTCATTATCGGTAGGGCAATGTGAATGGCGACGTCTGACGTCGCGGCATCGAATCGCGAGCTGCGACCCTGTATACGATACCGTGTAGGTAAAGTAGGTACCTGTTTATATACTATACTAAAAGAAACCTTACAAAGTAACGGTAGCAAAAGTCTAATTAATTACTATTTATTGATACGGTATTTTAACGATATATGCCCGTCGTTGAGTTCCTCGAGTAATTTGACTACTCAGTAACTCGACGAGAATGACTAGTGTAAAAAAGATTGACAATATTTCGAGAGCCGCAACGTTGTCGTCCGCTGAGGTACTTACGGTCGCTCCAGTGTGTTGCACGTCCGTGGCACTGATTATAAAGGATCCTTTTTCAAAATTTCACGTGAAACTTTGACACGTATGCTCAATTTTATTAACAACTTCTATCAAGCACTTGGTTCATGAACATATCTTGAAGTGATTTAAGTAACAAAGAAATGACAGAAAATTACAATTTTTAACTTGATCTAGACTAATCTGCTCTAGACTAATCAAAGTCCGTATTCATAGTCAGAAATAATAACCAGACATAAGATACTGACTTGACGATATTTTACTTATCAGCAAAGTCTTATTTACATAATGTATTCATAGTTCTGGTTCAGGATTAGTCAAGGAAATTATTGGAATCCAGTAACCCACTTTTAATAGGTTTCACATGTATCTTTCTAGAGCACAGTTCAAATTAAATATTTTATACACAAGTTAAACACTTTTTAGTTACAAATTTCATCTTTTTGCTACTAAGAACGCCTTCTGCGAAAACAATCTGTTGAGAGCAACTATAGTTACGCGACAAGCAACTGTCACTCATACTATATAGTCGCTCTTCGACAGAGTTTTATCATGATAAAATATTAATTTTTTTGTTGCTAAGATACGTTAACATCGCTGTAATTTATGTAAATCATGTTATCACTAAATATTTAGTTACTCATGTCACTTTGGTGATTGTTAATTTAAGGAAGTTTGAGATAAATTAAAGAAGTTTGAGATAAGGCCTTCAAAAATTTCTTGACAATTTTATTGACAGTACATTTAAAATAATTGCTTATGTTCAAAATATGTTGGATTTTAACTTATTTGTTAATAAATTTGTGTCAAGCAATTATGGATACTGTTATGTACTTGAAACGTTATTTATGTATTATAAATGAGTAACTTCAGTCCATCAAATACTTACCCAGGCATATTCCAAAGTATAGTTCGAAGATAAGCACAATTTCGCCTTGGTAATGCAAATCTTATTTGTACTTGCTTAAATTTATGCACAGTTTCAACAATGTATCGAATGATACATTTAAACATCTTCAGTCTTACTTCTTCATAAATATGAACTATGAGTACGGATATCTTAGTAACCTCGGCACTCTATTTGAGAAATATATGTATAATACATAATGTATAATACTTTTTAAGAATTAATGAAGAATAATTTTCACGAAGTACAATTGTGTCAAGATCATCAGAAATGACAAAACCTTATATAATTGTAAGAAACGAGTTCTGATTATTTTGCAGACAAGAGACAACAATTTGAAAACAATTACTACTTCGTTCAGATGAAAAGGTTATTATGTCGATTCTATAGTAATTCGCGCTACCACGTTTTCCTGAAACATGACATACGACCGACGATTAATTTTGCTATCTCTTTGTTAGTCACACACTTGAGTCACCATGGTTACGTGAACGCATTGCCCCGACCGAAAGCGAAGTCTATGTATTATATATTCTATATACCGCGCACACGTGTACACACATACACACAAATACAAAATCACACGACATATATTGCCCACTTACAAACGACCGGGTACAATGCATTCGTTCGAACGATCGTGCGGAAAAAAAGATACTTAAATACAGGTGTGTGCCTAGCAGCCGAAACCAAACATGGGCAACACTGCTTTATCGAATGGTAAATCGAAGAGAAAGATATAAATAAATCTATATATATATAAATTATATATATATATATAAATATATATAAATATATATATAAATATATTTAAATATATAAATATACGGTACTATATTATGGCTACAATAAACATACACAGTTATTTTGTAGTGTCTCGCATTATGTAAACTACATGTATACATGAAATACAACCAGCGGCGATGTTGATGACAACTGCAATGATAAACAGTGTCTACGCGAGTGAAGTATGTATTATGAGTAATGGCGAGGACGATAACGACGACGATGGATAATAGTCTTATATGCTATCATGTCGACGAGTCTAAACTGTATTGTATTATATTAAGAGAGTCTGTCCATATTAATAATAATAATAATAATATTAATATTAATTATAATAGCTGTGTTTGAAAACAAAAAAAATAAATTGTGGTTGAATATGAAGTAGGCTGTGATAAAAAGTAGCAGCCCTAAGTATCGTGTCCTCCTTACTAATTGTCATCATCATCATCATTATCATCATCATCATAATGTATCATGACTCTAAACGCAATCCTCCGCACACTTGAGTCGTCCACTTCTCGGGACATCCAATCGGCGAATCGACGAGTGTGTCCGTTGGACGATATCTCGATTTCTGTACTGATACGAAGATATCATGATCAGTACGCCACTGGATTCCTTTTGAAAAGATAGCCCAGTATACCCGGAGGTTGCGTTTATACGAATTGCGGCGGAAGGAACCATTGTATAATCCAAGATGGCCTCCACCTTGGAGAGGATTATTATTGGCTAATACGAAGCAAGAGGCCCCGCCTTGGCTCACGGCTCGTGACGGGATGATTTATTGGGATTTCTGTCTGTTCGCCCTCCGTTACAACGAACACATCGTGCCTAGCTCGCCTAGATGGTAGGTATGCTTGGGCTTGCGATATTGGATTTCGACATCTCGACAAAGTGCAGCTGCAACCACCTCTCTGCGACGGACGTCTTCATTCCAAGTGTCCACGTGCAGTCCGGCATGCCTCAAGTGTCACAATGTCAAATTTCATATCCGATCACGCAGGTTTCATTTCGACCCTTTTGATTACGTACTTTTAGTAGGTTTCTATATTTTCATTATATCATGCAATAAGCGTGATGATTTAGATTGCGCTATTAGAGTAGGAAGATTTGAATTGCCACTATATAAGCGATCGAACAAGCAGACGAAAAGATACATAATGATTATTTGAAAGCGTGTCTTTAAATTATGTAGAAAGGCAATTCAAATGCTTGATTAACTATATATACTAAGCGGAAATAATATCGAGCTACTTACTAGATCTAAGATCACTCCCACTCACTTATGTAATAACATAAGTTAAGTAACATAATTTAAGTAACTGCAATGATAGATTAGCTGCTTCAAGATTTATGGCATTTTTTAATAATAATAATAATAATTATTATATATATATATATATATATATATATATATATATATATAATGTCTAAGGATCCTATATCTAGTAAGTAGTTGGACATTATTCACTTAAGGTACAGATATCCCACAGCGATATATCTGTACCAAGTTAACATAAACAATCAGAATCGAAGTGACTCTTTTACACTAATTTGCATTATAATATTACTCTAATGTCCCTGCGATTACGTATAGAGACGCTGAATACAGATTGATCGATCATATTGATATATACCCACTCGCCGGGCTATGATGAAATCAACAAAGTTGATAACATCGATCGCGCCTGCACATGCGACGGAAGGTGAGTATCGCGCTAACGGGAGTCTCGTAATGTTATCGCATTTCCGAAACTGGGTAATAAATCCAGGTCATGCGAACCGAGCAGGCAGAAGAATTCATCATCGAGTGAGTACAGAGTATTGTGTATGTGCAGTTTAAAGCAACGAAATACACGATGACCTTTGCCAACCCTGTTGTTGCAGGTGCATCCGCGTTGCAAATGCGTGAGACGAGGAAAGAATCCATAGGCAGGACCAATGGAGAGAAAGAGTGAGATAGAAGGATGGGAGAGCGAAGAACCGGCGGAGTAGAGACCTGGCAAGATAGAAGGGCCGGTGGGAGGATGGCGGTTAGAATTTATGGCCGCTTTATCACTTTACCGGCCTTGCCGCGTCTCCTTTAGCTGTGAGGAGGGCAGGATCTCACGATGAACTTTGGCACTCGACTACGCTGCACTCGACGAGCGGTGAGCCCGTTAACTTTCTTGTTTACTTCTATTTCGCAAGAGATTACAAATACACCTATTCTCTCTCTTTCTCTCTTTCTCTCTCCCTCTCTCTCTCTCTCTCTCTCTCTCATCTTTCTCCTTCTTTCGTTACTTTTTGAATTTAGCACCGCGTTGTACAAAATGTATGTAACAAACATACACTGAAAAAAAAGTTTGGTAATACTTATCAAATGCGTTTTACCATACCATTTGGTAAATAGTAACCAATATAGTAAATGTTATCAAATGTTTGGTAATAATTGTAACATTATTAGTAAATTGTTAGTAACATTAACTTTCATATAGTAATATTCACCTCTTATATTTAGTTGATACTATTTCACTAAATGTAGTAATTATAACACAGGCTGGATAATTATTACCAGAAATTTTTCTCAGTGTATATGATGTATATAATGTTTATGTTAAGTATTGCAAATTTAAAAAGAGAGTAGAAAAGTAGAAAAAAGAGATCAAGTTTGCATTAACCTTCACTAATTCGTTATTCTTTTTGAACGCATGATTCCAATATATCGCCAAAAAAACGTTAATTCATCAGGTGACTGTAAAAACTTTACAGTCTGCAATCAAATATATATATATATATATATATATATATATATATACATATATACAGCAGATGATTAATAAGATGATCAATACATACATAATTTTCTACTCAGTGATAAAACTTAACATGCACATAACAAATCCAAAAATATTACACAAGAAAACTGCTGGCGCCATCTCGCGAGCCGCGATAATTACGGTTCACATTCCACAGCTGAGTCGGAGAGGCCCGGTTTACACTCTCGGTATCTAGTCCCAGTATTCTAGTCAAGAGAGTGCCATCCGTGCGTCTCACTAGCTTAAATTTATGTCTTCATACACTCGCGCGCTGCGCACACTAGCTCTTTGGGCTGATCGCACGCCCCGTTACACTTATGGCCGTTTAATGGTCGGATTTTAATTCACTTGGTCCACTAGGGAGAATAGATTAGGTTCAGGCAGTTAACGGGAAAAGTGGCGCCTATCAAATCCTCACGAATATCTAGTGTAAACACATTAATAATAAGTCCCTCTCACGAATAACTTATTACACGCGGACAATCCGTGCAGGACCTCGTAAAATTTACGTCACACCACCTCTGTCGGCATGACGACTACAACTACATAACGCATAAAGTAACCCCCATTAACAGACCATAAATTCTATCCCCGCAGCATCGCTGTTATGTATGAGCGTCGTTAGTGTTAATAGAGTGTTAACGGCTTCTATGCCGTCCTCGATTCTGTCCAGGACGTAGGTGACGGAGGTGATGATGTAGGTAGAAGGTTGACGGAGGAGAGGAGGGAATGGTAAGTGGTTGCCATAGAGGATTCCTGGTTGCGTGTTGCTCGGCTACTACTAGCGCCGTGCTTCTGCTATTTTGCATAGAAAATGCATCAATTTTCGGCGCTTCCCACTCGCAACCCCCTCCCACCTTCCACCTTGCCACCTTCCACGATTTTGTCCCCCTACTGCGTCCCGCCTGGTCATCCCCACCCAATTTCCGTCGCGGACGACTCGCAACAACCCTCGTGCACGCTGCTCCGTATAATGTAAATCGTATCGAAGATAATTGATACCATGAACGCCTACTTCCCTGGAAATGCCCGCATACAATGAGCGCTCACCTGTCCCGACTGTTTCCGTGGCATTTGTTTCCGTTAGCGATGATCGGCTTCGATTTGTGCAATAGAGATGCTCCAAATATACACAATTACTACGGGATTTGTGGAAGTTCAAGCGCACGCATTGTAGAGGTATTGAGTTTGAGTGGCTGGACGAGACAGATTTCAACGAACAAGTTTTTAGGAAGATGATTCATTTTTATTTGCATACTAGATTATTTACTCACACGCTTAACAATAATATAATTAACGATACTTTATTATTTGCTTTATTGGGATATAATCCTAGTCATAAATATATATGTTGAAGAGATTTCTATTAAAATTTAAATATAATAAAATTTTATTTTGCTTGCTGAATTTTCTGATTGTTTTATATCAAGATTCCAGAATAATATTGAAGAATCTCAATTGGCACACTTATTATTTTTTTATAATAATTCACAAAAAGTTCATTACGGTTTATCCTCAGGTGTAAACAATATTGTACTTTGGGTGGATCATTTGGTATTGCTGCGGAGAAGGCCGTTGGCTACATAACGTATAACAGAACATAAATCAATAATATCGCTACCCCCTCTCCTTTCTTCCCTCCCCTGGGATACGCTCACTATCCCCGAACACCGTTACTGCTCTGCAAACCGCCAAGCGACGCCGGCGTCTCTCTCGCAATCAATGTTCACGTCTAAAGCATCACAAGCAATATTTGATCTCTAGCATTCGACGATTAATACGTTCATCCAACGCTTGAAACTAACTTTGTAATTCATTAGAAATCTGTTTATTTACTTTGGCTAAGTTATGTGTACTGAACAACGCACATGTTTGTAAAAACATCATATATGATATAAAACTTATTATTACATACGTAAAACTTCGAATACTCAAATAAGTATAAAAATATCTCGAATTATTGCGTAATATCGAAACTTAACAATTAATTAATTAATTAACATTATTATTATATCAATAGAAACTTACTTATTCGAAGACAGTGAAGACTCGTCTCGGGACTTGCAAATGACACGATTCAAAAACAGAAATACATAGTTTACTCGGATTGTTACATTTTATAATTTATTATAGTGATGTACACCTGACATTTGTCAAAGTATTAATGCAAATTTATTTCGGGCCTGGCTACACTTCTGCATGTTTCAGGAAGTTTGAGTCCGGACACGTCACTGATATAGAAAGGCTAAATGCAAAACCTTGTAAGGGGAGAGACTCTCGTACTCCGAGAAACTAACAAAACATCCTCGCAATTAGCCGGATGTCCCGATGACATCAGCGGGGCATCCCCCGGGACCGGCAACCGTGCTACGTAGCCTCGCGACAGGAATTTCGCCGCTGCGCTACCCTCCCGGCTTCGGTCCCCTACCGGTCTCTACCGGCCGTGTTGCCCCTACCAAGCGACCGTTCGCGGCCTCTCAACGGGATTCTAGGTGACGACGCTGTGCTCTCTAACTACGCGAATATGCTAAATAATAAAAACTTATCAGATTTATGTCGTCCAGAATTGAACACGGATGGCAAGGAAGAGGTGGGCCGCTGGCGAGGGGGGAAGGAGTGAAGATGCCCGCCGGACGAAATTGAAAAGTGGTTGGAAGATATGCACCTAGACGAATACCGGTAGACAGACGAATGGCGTGGGAATGAGCAAGGGGCTGGAACGGGTAAACGAACATGAAAAACTGCGGCGCGAGGGCTAATAGACTGAAAAGTGTTTGTTCGACGGATGGACGTTTTTTACAAAGCTCCCGCTGCCCTTTTTCATTCGAGGTCATTGGAATGCGTCGTACGTGAGATTGGCGCAGCTACGTTTGCTTCATTGTTGTCTGTTAAAAATATCGCGACCTCGCAGATTCAATAAACTTTCACGGAGCCGGAGAGTGACGTAAAATACTATTGTCCGATACAGCACCGGGCAAATTGAAAAATTTTCACTTATATTTTTCCTTACACTACATTGATAATGCTGTAGCGTTACTCATTATTCACAGTTCTGCTACATAGCTCTTCTAATCCATATTCATATCTCTAAATTTTTTTCCAACTAGTAGTTATAATGTTGAAGTTGTAACAAAAAAATGTTTCTTTTCTGATTTCAGGTCCATTTACGTATTATCATGGATTTACATCATCCGATGAAGTTGGTCAATATACAGAAATTAACTGAAAGTTAATGATACATCACAAGCTAGAATAGATACAGGATCGGACAAAACGGGCTACTTGAATAACTCCTTTATTCATAGTAATGGGAAAAAATAGGTCAAGCAAAACTTGTTTTAGTTCAAGGACGTCAGGTCCAATGACATTGTTTGGGTTAAAAATCAACCACATTTAAAGGGGGGGCAAACAAATTTTTTTTTAATAAAATTTTGTTTATATCCGTAGATTCTCGCTAATTTGTGCACAAAAGTATAACTAATTAACACGGTGAACAGTTTATAAAATATTTCACATTTCACTTTGATACTTTCTAACAAAAAAGGGGAACCACTTGATGAAGTATTCACGTGTTGTTAACTTTACTTGAATATGTTCATGTATTAAACAATAGGAAGGACTGATTGATGTTTATATTCTTAGCATATACGTGCACTAATGAAACATTATCACGCACCTACACCTTTCTTCAAATCCAGCCATGCACATTTTAACGTCAATCGATTCTCCTGAATATTTGTTCACTCGAAACCTTGTTCAAAACTGGCGCCTTTTCAAGGAGACCGGCAACCATTAGACTACCCTCGTGACACCCGAGGTAGAGTATGATGGTTCCATCGAGTAGGTAGTGCCTAGACGGGGCTCCACCCAGCACTTAGTTCACGTCGTGACTGCGGCCCCGGGCACGACCGTTTCCAGGGTACAGTCACGCCCCTGCCGTGCGAGTACTGTACTCCCATTCGCTGGCCCATATCTCATCTGGTCCATCGCATTAGCCTAATCTGCCACCAACGTGAACAGAGAAAAAAAAAATACGGCCATCAACGTTGCCACCGACGAGAGAAATCGCGGCGAGGTGCTGCCACCTTTGTGGAAGGATCGAGAAGTTGACCGGTTGTCGAATCGATTTTTTCCCACGAGCAACGCCGTCTCGCTCTCATTTCAGCTGGTAGTTCGATTTGGTTGTTTGTTCGTATATTCCTGGCGACATTGTCCCCCCTACGTTAATACACAATTCGTAGTAATGTTAGTTCGCGTCGGTCGGCAGCAAGAATACCTCCTGTTTGTATTGCTCATCATGAAAGTGATCGGAATGATAGGTAAGAAACAACTATACTCACATATGCGCTGTAAAGTGGATTATTGTAAAGCTTGCGTTATGGTTTGATTGAAACATACAATGAGATGTAACGAAACTCTACTCGAATATCACTTGTCTTAATTGAAGTGTTCGTATCACTACAATACGTTGCTGAGAAGTCTCAGAAACATCATACCAGTTTCTTGAATCACAGACTCAAGTACCTTAACGAAAATGTCAATTTTATGCCACAAGTGGCAATTCATTTGGAGTTGTAGAGATTGAAAGTTAAATTATAGGTGCCAAAAGAGAAGCTGATGTTGTTAAAATCAGCTTTATTAGTAGTATTATTAGTTTTTGCTGTTACAGCATACTTCCATCGTCGGATGCAGTGGGCTGTCATCTTGTCCAGTTGCTGTTGACGTGGCATCTAATCGGGCGTTGCTGAATTGGTGAGTAATTTAATGCATGGAACAAGTAATTGCAGCGAAATAAGAGAATAAGCGATATAATAAAACGAGTTTTTGCAAATGTGTTTCTCTTACTTTGCTCATATTAGTCTGATTTTCTCACTAATTTTGTTTTTACAATCAATTTGACATTTTCATCATAAAAATATATTCTATTGTTGTCTGTGATCTTTACGCGCGTACGAACAGGGTACGAATTCCTTTGCATTATAAGCCTCGTGGCTTAGGACGTAATCATTAGCGGAGCTAATGAAGTACTCGAAGAAATTCGAAACATTCTCGTAGCAAAATGATGTCACTAATAACGTGTATCAAGGAACGCTTTGAAGTTTGTAGAACGTTGTAGAAATAGATCACACTCTTAGAGTCATCCAACAAAGTCACCGACGAATTTTCAAGTATCATTCATTGCATGAGAGTGCATAACTTCCATGCTACACATTACATGAAAAAACAATTCTGTTGGTGCAACCGAATTTTCGGTCGCTCAGGGATCAGACGAAAACTCGGCTGTAGTAACAGAAAAATTCCTTTATAAAGCTTCTATATAGTCAGTTGTTCTCAGTTGTTTCAACCGAGTTCTAATATCGTTGAATGTTCAGACGAATATTTTCGACTGCGACAACAGAAATAGTTTTCATAACAGAGATATCGCTTCTGATCACCTAATTTTCAGTTGGTTCCTATTTGGTTGTACCAACTGAAATTTTTTTTGCGTATATATAAATTGATAATCTAAGAGAATTAATCCTATTTAGCAACTTGTCAATTCAGCAATATTAGTGTTATCATAACAATGTAACTTTTTCACTTAGTCTGTTCGATTGGCGACAACAGTGATCCGCGAATAATCGCTTTATGACATTTTATTTTCGCACAAATTGGAAAGCAAAAAAATTAAGTGTCCAATGTAAACTTTATTCTTATTACCTTTTTTTATATCGCAATATGTCGTGTAGTTTCGTAACCGTTTATGATGCAGGTACTTCAAAGTTACACCGAGTTTTGTTCTCCTTAATTTACGTTCTCCTTTTTCAAACCCAAACGTACAAACTCGAGTACCTATTGTTATTATTTGTCGGAAGCTAGTTTTACTAAATAGTAAAGTTGTATTGTGGCGAGGATTGTGCATGCTGTTGCCTTGTTTCGCCGGTTTCATGCCGCCGTAGGCTGCCTCGAAACTTGCGTGGATTTATATTACGAGACATAAATTTTCGTTTATTTGAAAATACGTGACGCAAAGTCAGAAATCTGACGTGTGTAGGAGATGAACTGGCGGACTACGCTCTGTAAAGAAAAAAAAAAAGCCTGATGTCAGTAAGCTACATAGGTGCGTCGAATATTGCACAATTTTTAGACATTGCAAGTTATTCTAGTTTTCGAAAAGAACCATACATGTGAGTACACACACTATATGAGTTATTAGTACTGCAAAAATATATCTGCGATATCGCAGAGTCCAAAAGACCTGATCCTACGTGAAAGTAGAAAGTCTTTACAGGTCAACGTTACAAAATTACACGAATTAAATTGACCAATTTGTTTCGCTATAATCCCATATATCAAGTGGTTTTTTAATGTGTTTTGAATTCGCTGATTCTTTTTCAATAATTTATAGCCGGTGACAAAAAAAATTGCAACATTTTTTTCACAAATTTCATCACGTATTCGTATTCAATAAGAGAATTCGTTATTTAATAATTTCCGAGAGATAAATCATTTACTAGACACAGGAATATGTTCTGAAGCTGATCGAACAAAAAATGTTGCTATCTTTTTGTTACTGACTACACCACCGAAATGATATGAAGTTGTTTTGAGCTCCAAGATGATGTCTTCGGTTACATTCATTCGTCTTGATTGCATTTCGCCGTTATACGATAACCATCTCAAAATATATCTCTATAAGAGCATTATATCCTATAGAATGTTTGATGTTCATGTTGGTTCGAATTTTTTACGAAATTCGCTCTTCTTACTTTGAGTGTCATTTACATGCGACTAATTTTCTTCTAATTACAAATCCGTGTTTATTAAAATGCAATCTTTCAATGTTTATATATATATAACTCTGATATTCCGCAAAAAATACAGTAAAAATCCAACAAAAACTGAAAGTATATGAAGTGATTCAAAAATCAGGAGTTCTTTGTAAATTGTTTTTCGTTACTTGTTTTGTTAGTCACAATAATTACTTGATAGTGATAATATAGCCAAACGAAAGGAATCAATCTGTACATATTCGTTTCGCTTTCAACAAGCCGGATGATTTGTTTACTTTTAAATGGATCATCAGACTACATTGTCCCGTAATTAAGTCAATAGTGTCGTTATACTTAGGCGTAGCACCTGTCGTAGCAGTAACTTTGTTGTTGCACGCACAAGAAAAGCATAAGATTAATGATACTTTAATGATTACACGAACCGTTTTGAGGCACGGCCGACTGCTAAAACATAACTCAATTCCACATGACGGATATTGCCACCCTTCTGTAGAACTATTTATGTGATGTGTAATATGAGTTCGAAAACCTCCCTCCCCCTCTATTTTCATAAACACATGATAAATCGTTCTGTGTTGAGTAAACCTTGTGCTTTCGTAATGAAGTCATCTCGTCAGCTGAATCATGAAACTCCAAGGTAGATAATATTCGGAGGTATATACATTTTTGTTTAAATGTTCGAATTTTTAATCCGGCCAATGATATTTAATAACAAAATAACATTTAATATCTTTAAGAACAACATCAAGACGTGTAAATAATAACTTTTTATCCTCGCAAAATAATTTAATAAATTACGCACTGACCTCCCGCGGTTTGGCCTAATTGTCGTGCGTTGTTTGAATGCCTTTACACCATACCAGCCGTAAAAAAGCGAAAAAGGAAACGAATTATTTCAGTAACGCCTGACGCCTTGTAAGCTTAATTATCTGCGTTATATCATTATCATTGAATTAACGGTAATAAACTATAGAATGAGCCATCAATTACGTCTTAAAGGAAAAACATTTTGTATCCCGACAACTGTAATTCTCTGGAAGCTATATAAACTTCTAATGAATACTTCATAAATCTGTTTTTGTGATTGCGGCATGTAGTTGCGTGCCTTGCACGCTACGTAATCAGATGATGGTGATTTACAAGCTATCTTGTGCTCTTCATGTATGCTTAAATTTTTACGGGTATGATTTCGTTGCGTCAGGTTCATCTTCAGAATATCCCATTTCCTCAGGAAACGACGCGTTGCCTTCCTAATTTGATATTTTGTTTGTTCACTTGTTTGGGACCGGACCAAAAAATTTAGGCTCCTATTGTTCTTTCATGTTGTGTAAAAAATTGCTTATATCAGCATAACAGAACCTATTGATTATTAACAAAATATTAATAAGACCAACATAAAATCTCTGATTGAGATGTGCGCATTGCTTTACTATTAAAATACGTATTTATGCACGCTTGATAGTTTTTGCGGGGCGATTTCTATAGAAAGCGCGTGATCTAATTAACGTATTATTTTAATTATATTAATTTCATTACTATTAAGGTAATACGATGAAAAGTTTCTTTATCGCTGCACACATATCTCTCTCATTAAATATCTCTGCGTCTTAACCAATTTAATTTTAAATTCCTTTCAGAGAAAGGCGCGTTATAAATACGTTGGTTAAATTATATTTAATGTCGAGGATACTTTATATGTATAGTATTATTTTGTAGATATGTACAACCTAATATAATTACAAAAGCTAAAATTAATAGCGAATAACGCACAGATAATAAATTGTATAATTTGAAAATTCCAATAAAAGAAGTGGAATAGGAGGAAATATTGCTACGATATAAAAGAAGTTTTTCACGAAGAATCATAAATGATTCTTGTATTTTACGACCATTATTTTCTTCCTTTAAGAACAATATCTTCTTCTGTGATGTTCAGACACATTCAGTTTCGCATGATTAATCCGTTTAATATTCGTGCCTCGATATCCTCGTATTTCTTCTCCATCTATTGATCTATATTCAGTAAAAGAGAAAGAGACAAAGAGAGAGAAAGAACGGAATGAACAATGAAATTTAAATCAATAAATGCCTATTCTTCCATGATATACATTAATCTGCCATAGTATTACTTGCAACTAATTCAGTAACTCTTTAATATATATGAAAATAATAAAGATAACAAAACTACTTATGAAAGTAAAATTAAAAATTTTGAATATTTTATCACCACTTGATACGTGTATTTTGTATAGTAAATATATACTGCAAACATAATTTGTATATTATTTAATAAATCGTGCAAACTTGACGGTTTATTTAGGAGTTTCCTCCGACGGTAGAAATTAAACTCCGAGTACCGTGTTTGTGCTTGAAAATAGCTTGAAAATATGATATATTGTTATTATTTTGACGCTAAATCAATATGTTATTATACAATTAACCATTATTAAATGTTAAAATCTAGTTATTAATGGTTTTAAAGTAATAGCCGATAGTATTGCTTTATCTCCAAAATAATGTAATTTTAGTATCAATATAACAAGCACACGCAAAGCCTTTATTCGCGACGTTGTAAATCTATTGTTTATATCATCTTCTCTTGTTGAAAACTGAAGATATTGCTTCCTTTCTGTAAAAAATTCGAGACTTTTACTACCAACGTCAAAAGGGTGAACGATTAAACCATGCTGGCAGAAGATATTGTTGCAACCGTAGTATGATCAATAAGAAACCGGTTCAAGACCAAATTTATGCGCGATACTCATTTGCCTGGTAGGGAGATTGGAGCTACTACGCGAACAAACGCATCCAGTCGCATTCCTCGATGATAAATTTCATTTGTGCTATGCAGAGAAGGAAACGTGGTTTGATTCGTAAGGGCTGAATGGGATGCCAGGGTGTTCGTGTCAACGTGAAGTGACAAAGTGCCGCACCGAGCTAACTAGTATATCCGCTTTTGGTAGAAGACCATCCGGCAAATGAATTCTAATATCGTACAGGGTATTTATTTGTATAATGTCTGTTGGCGACGAAACGTAGCGCAAATGCGGGAACGATAATTCAACTGATATTAATAATAACATAAACCTCAAAATGTTTACAGACCTCCGCCGCAAATACGAGTAGCGCGCGCGATAACGACGCGGTGATTTTTAATATTTAATAATACCGTAATAAAATAATGCCGCGCGACACACGTTCTATTTTTTCCGAAAGCTCTTCAAATGCGTTACTTAATATTTCATAATTTATATCCAATTTTTTGTTTGTTTGTTTTTTTTTTTTAATTCAACGAGAAAAGGGAACGAGCGCAGCGCGAAAGGTGACCACCGCTAATAACCTAGCGAAGTTAAAAATGTTTTACGGCTTACAGTCCATATGTATACTCGCGGTCATAACGGTGGTATAATTTTGAACACTGCTTCGTACTTTACGCCGCATCTGGTATTTTAATGTTACAACCGCGTTTTATGCCGCACGCACGGAAGCTGTGAACCTAAGCAATCCTTGCCGGGGTCTTAATATAGCACTTAATATCACGTCACACCGTGTTTGACGTTGCGCAAATTCCTCATGGCACATATAATATGCGGCGAAAAAAAGAAAAAAAACGTAATACAGAGTACGAGAGAAAAGTTGGAAGACATACGGGGACGGGCGTGCAACTAATATTAATAACGTGGCAAAGTTAAAAATGTTTACTGTGTATTACGGCTGATATGAGGGCCACGAGCGTGGCAGCAGGGTCCCTTATGATTGATTGCACGTCTCTACGTCTCTCGCTCTGACGCAGTATTCCTATGGATATTGCCTTAGTACGGCCCTGCCACGCTACGATCTACCTTCTACCTCCCACCTTCGTATCTGTAGAGACACCATACCGATCTATTCTACTCCGGACGAATCAAATCGCCTCGCCTCTACTTCTCTCTTCGTTACACTAAGAGTTAAAATCGTCTCGAAAGAATGCGGTCGAGTAACTCCGTTTTGGCGCGGAACTATGATTTTCTGTGTTTACCAATTTCAAGGAGGAGGAGAGATCAAATCGACACTACACTATTGAGAAATATCCCCAGCCCCGTCAAGTCAACGTCAATTGTACATCCAAGCAGTGTTCTGCTTGGAAAAAAAAAAAAAGATACGTCGCCTTTGTACGCGCGATGCGTAATAGCGTCGAGATGTAATGGCAATAATTATACGTTGTGATTAATAACCCAGTTATTAGAGTACTTCGCAATTTAGTAATCATGATCTTTATGCCAGGAAACATCTAAGCAGTTTTTGAGCTTATTAGATTGATATTAGTTACGCGTACTTTACGCATCGTGTCTCGCATTGAACTGGTTTTTGCGAAGTTAATGAACGGTCCAGGATCTCTAATTGAGGTTCTACTACGGATTAACGCTTGGAAAAACAAATCGGTTGGCAGGTTCGCTGCAAAAAGCAGTGATGTAATCGCAAAGTAAAACGCGCTCACGGATATAAAGACCTTAGAAAATGACACACTAGACGCTAGATCATTTAATTACGCTTAAAAAGCGCGAGCATTAACGGCTCGAATCGTGCACTTTTGCGTGCGCATCATGATTTACACCTGTTATATTTTTCCATGAATCCTTGAAGTCTCTGTTTTTACGCTCCGTACCATCGTTATTTCATCATCTCGAGAGAAATATGAAAATTATTTAATAATAAGTTTCATACGCTACCAGCAGCTGTATCAGACATGTATTTTATAAGTTTGTTGCATCAATCCGCCTCATAATCCACGACGAAAAGATTCATATATCATTAATAATCTTCTATTCAATTTTGCGCGATACTCATATCGGAATGGTTAAAAAGGAGACACAGAAGCGCGTCTGATTCCATCATCAATAAGAGAAGAGACACTTCATTCTTGATACGTATTCCTCAAGCGGACTCAACAGCTCGAACAAGATCATTCCTTACAAGTCTCTCCCTATTACGCTTTTAATCATCGGGCAAATTTGCGAGAGAAATCTCATTAATACACGTGTTCTCCTTGCTCAATGCACGTACGCAGGCTGGTTCCTTGACCTTTGTATAGCCTCTATACGTGTTTAGTAGCAACTGGTTGCAGTAGCAAGAATTAGCAATTAATCTTTCGGTTGGTGTTACGAATGGGGATAGGGAGCAACCTGGACGTAAGGGAGAGACGCGAAAAGAACGTAATAAAGAGAGGTATAAGAGCAGCGGAGAGCAAGAGTACAGGCAGAAGACTTATTGACCGCACGCAAATGCAAATGACACAACAATTAGGTCATTGTCTCGTCTTCCGGTTATTTAGTACTTAATGCAATTCGCTCCGATATAGTTTGTAACCTGCATTGATTACATTATCGACTACATTGACGTGTCTGATAAATATTAATAAATAGCCAGGTCTCATGACGCTAAACGATAAGCAACAAAGGATAAATTGCTGATCAGCTGCCTTTTGTCATATCCTATGAGTTTCGATATTCATGGTGCTTAAAAAGTAAGCGATAAGGATGAATTATTCATTAAATCAGTTTTCCTTTGTCGTATTCTCTATCAGTTTTGACATTCTCAAACAATAAGTAATACGGATTGGCATTTTGTTTTGTCATATTCCACGAGCTAAATGAAAGAACTCGTTGATGAGCGTATCGCACTAGAAACAGCAACACACATTGTTCCGTTCTCGTCTCATCGACAGTCCGACGCTGTCTTACAAAGGAACGGACAGCACGGGTAGTGTTAGTGGTAGGTCCCTCGGGAAGCTGCGATCTTTTCTTCCTCGCTCCCTCATATGGCAAACGGGAAGGCAAGCGAAGCCAGCGGAGAAGGAGGGATCGCATCTTGCTCCGTAGGACTCTCGCTCTCGCCACCGGGGCCCCGCTATTTATTTTCCAGGATTTCAGAGTCCGAAGCCATTAATCTCCGCTCCGCAGCGTCAGTAGAGCGCGTCAGGGCGACGTCGGGGTGCGTGGCGTCGCCGACGTCGCTCTGCTCTTAGCCGCAGCCTCGTGTACAGCGTTTGGAACCGCGCGCGCGGCCGTGAGGGGTGGGGTAGAGAGAAGGGAGAGAGCCGAGAGATGAGGTGTCGGTAGGAGAGGTCGAGGAAGTTGGTCAGAGTGGAGGGAAAAGGGACGTGTGGTCGGGACGAGTGGGGATCTAGCCTGGTTCGACGAGGAGCGGGGGAACAGAGAAAGCCCGGAGAGGGAGGTGCTGATGGCGGCGACGAGAGGGGAATAGTCGTATGGTAGAGTTATGCAAAAAATATCTGCCCACAAAAAGATCGGATAAAGAAGGTGCAGGATATTAGTGTATCCGAATTCGGCTCTGTCGCTGATGTCAGCCGATGATTTATCTCAGCGACGGTCGGCTCGACGCGGCATACCGTTTGAATTATACCACTTGACTTTGTTTAGAGCAAGACGTTTGTTAAATTACAGAGGAGCGATTCCCGAGCGAAAATTTCGCGTCGATCGGGAACCCACATTTTCATCACATAACGCAACCGTGTCCTTTTGTTGTGCAGACAGATAGGTGGATAAGCCACGTGAATACCGCTGTTGATTGAGAATCGCGCGAGCGTAATCAGGCCATTATTCTCTCGTTAATTAACATTGTGCTGCCTGAGCGCAAAGAAAGACGTTAAAGTCCCCGTCTGGATCCCGACCCTGAACCCCTTTTGTCCGTACACACTGAACACCACCCTCGTGTTCCGTCACCCTCTTTATTGTTTATCCCGCCTACTTATTACTTCAGCGTGATATCGTGATGCCAGATGCTGTACTCTAACCTCTTGATATTCTAATCGGCCAATTCTCATCTACGCCTCTCGTCACTTCCTCCCGTGCCGTTCGTTCGGCCGGGGATTCCCGGAATTCCTGACATCGGCGATAATTCTTAAATTCCTGCAGGATGAAAGAAGCGCAACGCCGTCGGCAGAACGTCCGGAAGAAATACTGTTGGAGGGCCGATTCTTTCATGAAGGGACGAGAGAAATTCCTTCTTTCAACAATCGCTATGTAGGGAGGGAGGCAAGAAATCGATAATGTTATTCTCGTTGATGGCTCATATTCTTCGAG